GGGGGGGGGGGAGAAATGAATCTTCCAATCAGGGGAGCCCCTCCGGGCTCATTGGACGTCGGAGAGCCGTTCGGGGTTTCTCTGAACTTTCGAAAATGCATTCCTCCGCTCCTACTTGAGATTAAGGAATGAAATCGCTTTCATTTTTTCAGAATTTAATTTTCGATCGATCGGCATCGGTTTCATTTCTTCATCTTAATTAGGGGAGGGGAGAAATGAATTTGCCAATCGGGGGAGCCCTTCCGAGCTCACTCGACGCCGGAGAACCGTTCGGGGTTACTCCGCGCTTTTGAAAATTCATTCCTCCGCTCCNCTCTCCGGAGGGGCTCCTCCGATTGCAATATTCATTTCTTCCCCCCTAATTACGACGAAAAAATGAAAGCAATATCTATCGATAGAGAATTATATTTTCAATAAATTACAGCGGTTTCATTGCTTAATCTCTATTAGGAGAGGAGGAATGAATTTTCAAAGCGTGCAGTAACTCCGGACAAGTTCTTCTCATTCAAAAATCAATTTCTCGCCTCCNTAACCGATTTCATTTATTAACAATACAATTCTCGATCGGTTGGCTTTGGTTTCATTCCTTCATCTCAATTAGGGAGGGGAGAAATTAATTTTTGAATGAGAAGAACTTGTCCGGAGTTACTGCACGCTTTGAAAATTCATTCCTCCTCTCCTAATAGAGATTAAGCAATGAAACCGCTGTAATTTATTGAAAATATAATTCTTCATCGATAGATATTGCTTTCATTCTTTCAGCGTAATCAGGGGGGGGAGAAATGAATTTTACAATCGAAGGAGCCCCTCCGGAGAGCCGTTCGGGTTTACTTCGCGCTTTTGAAAATTCATTCCTCCGCTCCTACTTGAGTAGGATAGAATAGAATTTCCCGAAGATTCCAAAAAGCTTCATTGTTCTTCGTGCATGAAAAATGGGGATCTTCGGGAAACTCCTAGCAATCGCAAGACTTTTACAGATTTATTTTTCTCCGTGTGACGTCCGTATAGAAGATCAAAAAATCAATTTGACATGGGGATAAATGGAGTGGAGAGAAAAACGTGAATATCTCGGAAATTAGATGCGACAAAATGGACCCTTTTCACGTGGACGTACACATATAACTGGACTGAAATTTATAGAAATTTTTAATTTGCAATGACGCAATTCCTTGAAATTTCCGTATTACGGGGACGCGATAAAAATTCCCAATGTGTTCCCGGAATTTCCGCGGAAATATTATTGAAACCTACAGACATCATTCCTGAATATTCAAAACTTTCCTTTGATTTTCAAGATCATGTCACTGGAAATTTTTTACAAAATGACTTAATTTTAACATTGCTTGCTCATTGCATTTCAGAAATGCAGCTGCCTAAAAAAGACACATCGATTCCTAGGATCAACGTTTTTTTTTCTCGGTAAATACAGACAATAGAGAAATGTCAGAGTACAGTGAATAAACTTCACTCGTCAAAAACTCCATAATGGCAGAGTTAAATTCCCTGATTTTTTTTCACTCTCGATTAATTTTTTAAAGATTCAAATTGATACTTAATTCATTCGCATCGTTCCATTCCATCGGGAGATATTGTCAATTGGAGACAATTTTTTATGGTCACCGAAGGAGGCAAACCATTCATCTAAATCTCGCAATAATCTGCGAAAAATCTTATTTATTAATCTATTATTAGTGAATTAATCCCATTATGTGTAGATCGCTGGAGAACAACGAAAACGTTTCAACCGTTCAAACGAGTTGGAATGTTTTCGCCCTTCTTCTTCTCCATTTTCTTTCTCACTTGCACTCGTTAAGTTTGGCGGAGAACGGGCACGTGCCAACGCGACGGAGACGACAATGAGTGGGAGCGAGCGCGACACATATTCCTTTCTCACTCATTGTCAGGGGGGCAATACCGACATTAATATACCCGCCTGTTTTACCAACAAAAGTGTACTCCTTTTAGTTCATGCGCCACCACTACGAAAAAATCCAGTTGATACGTTTACATTGCCGTGAGCATGAAGAATAGAGACCTGGTCTCTATTCTTCATGGCCGTGAGAGATCTCCCTTATAATCTCTGTCCATAAGCGTTGGCAATCTCCCCTATAATTTCTGTTGTCACGGTGGGCCCAATCACCGTCAAACACGAGTGACCGAGACAGCCAGAGACAGCGGTGTGCAATCCTAGCGCTTTACAAAAGTGCACAGAGACAGTTGATATTTATTTATTATTGTAGGATTGTAAAATTTGAAATGCAAGTGTTTCCATTTAGCTTGCTGATGCTGATTAATTTATTACTGGGAAGTGTGTGTATTGATGCTGGGTAAGTGCCAGGGATCGACGCGAAGGGATTTGTTGATTATTGAAGATAACCTAGAGGTGGATTTATGTGAGGGTTGATTACTTACGTGGATATTACATTTATGTGAAATTAAATGTTTCGAATATTCCTATTATTTGCCTATAGCTACTCCAGTTTTCTCCTTACCAATTAAATTTTGTATATTTTTTCACATTGTTGTCCATTTTTATTCTCATCGACTGATTTGGCAAATGATTCGATATCAGCGAAAGATGATTGAATAGATGTGAATTTCGGACTAATTACGGGATCATTTATTTGTTTCCAATCCTTGCGGCCAATTTCAATCTTAAATTCATTTCATTTTCAATAACTTTTTCAATTTTTTGTCATCAATGGATTTCAATAGGATGGATCTATTCATGAGTGATTTAACGATGAAAACTCATTAAAATTCCCAAGAATCATTGAAGCAATTGAATTTTTTCATTGATTAAAGAAAGCGATAATTCCAAGTGTTTGGGCAATTTCCATTAGTACCTGTGATTAAATTATTCAAAAATATTTTTCTACAATTCTTTCATCATTTTTATCCGCCCAAATACTTAATACTATTTGAAACATGGTTAAGCTTCAATTGTAACTTATTATCAATCATTTCTATGCTTTAAAAATATTTAAAAGTATTCTCTCAGCTGAATGTCGATAATTTCCGATCCGGTTATTTCTGAAAGTTGAATTATTTCAATAATTTCCTCAATTCTGACTTCGACCAATCAGAGTGCAGTAATTGCGTTTATGTGACTCGTTTCTGGAGATGCAAAATGACCGTCATTTTTTAGATCGCGTCATATGACCAAAAAATGACGGTCTTGTGACTTGTGACGGTCATGTGACGCACAAATTTTCCAACTACAAATGATTGTCACAAATCATTTGTAACTAAATTGTTGTTAAACCATCTATATAGTTGCATAATGACGGTCATAACTACTTTCCAATTTGTGACGGTCATGAATAAAACAAAATAGTTTCATCTATATGGGTGGAAAAAAAACGTAATTTCCATTTCAAAATGCGGATTAGGCCAATACAAAAGGAATTCAACTGAAAATTGACCGAGAAAAAAATAAAGTTTCATCTATATAGATGAAACATGACTGTCATTTTTTCGTGACAAGTTGCGACGGTCACGAAGGGGGAGGGGGATTTGTGACAGCCAGCATGAACGCCTCGTCATATGACCCTTAATGACGGTCGAATGACCGTCATATGACGGGTCATGTGACGCATTTGCATCTCTACTCGTTTCACACTGACAATTTTCCCCACCACAAGGAAATTATCGGATTTCCTGTAGCCTGTCAATTGTTTCCAATGAATTTGATAGATATTCTCCACATTTTGGTGAAACGTAACTCCGAACACCACACTCTCATCGGCCGAATTCAGAATTTAAGAAATTATCCTGTAAATACCTGTCGACCTTCAAAATTCATCGGATGTTTCTCCAAAGTTTTCCTGCATATCAACGATCCGGATAAGTTTGGAAATAAAACCCCTCGGGCTGCGTGCTCCAGATTTTAAATCTGCAAAATGGACCCCTCTCGTTACTATGCAATAAAGCTTTCGGCAAATATCCGATAATTTTTAAGATCTGTTAATTTTCGGTTGCTTCCATTTAGTGGCATGCTAACTTTGAATGAACATTTTATGTCAAAATAAATTAATATAGCTTTAACCGCCAACAACGTCGAATACTCCATTTCTAACGTTCAAAGTTAAGATGGGGGAGTAATCCAACCAAATGCCCCTTGTTCTCTAAAATTGTAGAAATAAGGGTTAAACTTTTCCTTCTCCTTATCATACATCAAAACTGTAGAAAAATTTTCGCCAATTTTGGAGCACTCGGGGCATTACCCCTGGGGAGCGGTTTTGCGCATTTTTCTTCAACTAAAACTTATTATTTTTCTGCCGTTTGGCGGCGATTCTGAGCCGTAAAATGACCCGCGGAGGGGGGCGACGATCACATAAATGGTTGAATTTAAATTCCCGCCATTTTAGCCATACGATTGTCATCCCCCCCGGGAGTTATTTTACAGTTCAGAAACGCCTCCAACGGGGAAAAAATAAGTTTTATAGTTGGACAAAAACGCGCAAAACCGCCCTCCTGAGTGATCAATTCCTAAAAGAACATTTTTCAACACAGGAAATGTATTTAAATTGCAGAAGAGATTTTTATCAAATATTGGAACTGACCCGAAGTGCAAGTACACATGCAGTTAAGAAGGCATACCGAAGGTTGGCCAAGGAACGGCATCCTGACAAGAATAAAGACGATCCCAATGCTTCCCAAAAGTTTCAGGATCTCTCAGCTGCCTACGAGGTCCTTGCAGACCCCGAGAAACGAGAAATGTATGATAAGTGTGGTGAGGAGTGTTTAAAAAAAGATGGGATGATGAACAACGCTGATCCATTCGCGAGCTTCTTCGGAGATTTTGGCTTCCACTTCGGAGGTGAATCTCAGCATCAGCATGAGACACCCAAGGGGTCCAATGTCATCATGGATTTGTTTGTGACGCTTGAGGAGTTGTACAGTGGTAGTTTTGTAGAGGTAATTTAATTATTCAATCAATTCAGTATCTAAAAAAATCTCTGGAACGGAAATGTTGAGAGAAAGAAGTTAAATATGTTCTTTCCTTTTCCGGATGGAAGCATTGGAATTTTTCCATTTTCACGTTTTTAAATTTTGCTTGCAAATTATACAAAGTCCCTAGCGGACCCAGTAGAGAATCGGACTCTCAAATTTTTCGAAGATTTGAGAGTAATGTGAGAGGCGAAATAGCTGGAGTGACAGGGTCAATTTTCTACTCTTCAGTGCTTTTAGACAGTGGATAGCTAGAATGAGGGTTTCTCTGGCCCTTGCAGATGGTGACCCTTAAGAATTTTGACCCTTTAATTTTCTGACCTTTATACTTTCCGCCCCTTATAACTCCCGGACCTCAGATCTTTTGACCCTCAATTGTTTTGGCCCGCAAATCTTCTGAACCTTATATTTCCTGATTCATATATACTGACTCTTATTTTTTCTGACCTTCAAATGCGGACCCTTTGCAGACCCTTCATGTTCTTGAGCGTTAAAATTGCTGACCCTAAAAAATGTTGAAACGTCGAACTTTTGACCCTTATTTTTTTTTATCCTTACAATGAAGGTTCTTTGCAGATCTTTCATGTTCCTGACTCTTGGATTTTGACCCTGAAGGATGTTCTACACCCTTTCTGCCAAAATTCACGTTTTTTTAATTTTTCTGGCAAACTTATGATAGAATTGACGAAATTTTAAGGTGGTGCGAACATTTTCCTGCGTTTTCTCCCTGGGATGCAAGCAGCCACTTAAGTTAGGTGGCTGTTAAGTGGCTGTTAGGTGGCTACTTGTTTTGGTGTAAAAAAGGGTAAGTGATACCTGAAACGATTATGGATGTAAATCTATGAATTATTAAGGAATTTTAGTAGCTTTAATGATATTAATCTCCATTAATTAAGGAAAATAACAGTTTGCGTATTGAAAGGGAAAATAAATCAGTAGGGGGAACGCCGCCGGATGGCGGCAGTGTCGACTTCTCGCCCAGGCCGATAAAGTCGGCAGCAGTGGCGGGAGAAAATTGATTATCCAATAGGTTCATATTGGCATTTTTTTAATAAGTTTAATTCTGTACTGACCCAATTGCCCTACGTGAACAATGTTATCGCNAGGGGCGAAGAGGGGCATCAAATAATGAGATAGATCAAATAATGGAATCTAAAAATTTTGAACTTTGTGAGAAGTGGGGGGAAGA